GCCTGAGTCACAGATCTGAGGGCAGCCTCAATGGCTGCCACAGAGAGCAAACACAAGCACTTCCTACCTCAAGTCTTATCAATTTGTCTTGTTTTTACTTGCGACCAAATTGCAATTCATCATCATTTCATTCCAAATTATTGGAATCCCAGAAGCACCTCCTGACTCTTACCTGTGGAGCTCTTGGTAAGAACCTCTGTTACCCACAGCAGTAATTTATTTTGCTAGCTATGGCAGTGAATGTTACACATACTGCATTAATATTACAGACAACCCCATGGTATTTTGATAATTCTTCCTATTTTACAGAGATGAAAATGAAGGGTCACTGCCCAATGCCTCGGCTTGTAAGTCAGGTAACCTCTGCTCTTGGCACCACCCCACCACGGTGCTGGTGGTGTTGCCGATGCTGGATGGGGGCTGAAATGTCAAATGACTGGTAAGCTGAGCCCGAAAGGACATCGGGTCTCCCAGAGAGCCAAGCTGAGAGTCAAGCTGAGAAATAAGCCTATGCTAGCCAATTTACCACGGGCTCCATTGAATAATGACTGTGACATTAGTTCACGGACAAATGGTGGTGGTGGCCCACTTCTGGGTCTTCAGGACGGGGTTTCTCCCCTCTGCATGTCCGGGTCCCTATGGGAGCTTCAAGAAGTTTCCTCTGCATGGTCTACACAGGGGATTCTGAGTTAATCATATTTGATGGGGTTGGAGCATCAGTAGCTTTGACAAACTCTTCTGGTGATTTCAATGTGCCCCCAGGGTTGAGAACCACTTTTTAGGGACTTCTGAGGCTCTGAACTAGTGGTTGATGAAAGTGCTAATGTGTCCTGTAGAAAAACACTTTTCATCAGGGTGCAGTGGCCCATGCCTGTAATCCCAGCTCTTTGGGAGGCCGAGGTGGGTGGATTGCTTGAGGTCAGGAGTTGGAGACCAGCCTGGCCAACATGGTGAAACCCCGTCTCTACTAAAAATACAAAAATTAGCCAGATCTGGTGGGACAGGCCTGTAATCCCAGCTACTCAGGAGGCTGAGGCAGGAGAATCACTTGAACCCCAGAAACAGAGGTTGCAGTGAGCCGAGATCACACCACTGCACTCCAGCCTGGGCAACAGAGCAAGATTCCATCTCAAAAAAAAAAAGAAAAGAAAAGAAAAGAAAAACACTTTTCATTATGTAAATTAATCTTACTACTTTAACAAGAGCCCCAGAAAGGTATAGCAGTGGTTAAAAAGGTGATATATACAGGAATTCCAGTATCTATTTTTCTGTTGTGAAGTCAGAGGGACAGGAACCTAGTGCTTATATGCACAGCAATGTGGGAGGCAAATGTGGGAAAAAGTCTGGGATTCATAGTTTTCATTTCAACTTAGAAGCTCCTTAGCAGTGAAGCTGTCAGTCTACCCAATTTCAAATCTTGTAAGTCATGAAATCACTCATTGCCACCTGGTGTTATTTTTTTCTCCCTACCTTCTTCCCTCCCTCCTTCTCTCTCCCCTCTCCCCTTCCTTCCCTCCCTCCTCCCCTTCCTTCCTTCCTTCCTTCCTTCCTTCCTTCCTTCCTTCCTTCCTTCCTTCCTTTCCTTCCTTCCCTCCCTCCCTCCCTCTCCCTTTCCCTCTCCCTCCCTCTCTCCCTCTCTCTCTCTTTCTTTCTTCTTTCTCCCTTTCCTTTCCTTTTCCTTCTCTCTCTCTCTTTTCTTTCTTTCTTTCTTTCTTTCTTTCTTTCTTTCTTTCTCTTCCTTTCTTTCTCTCTCTCTCTCTCTTTCTTTCTTTCTTCCCTCTCTCCTCTCTCTCTTTCTTTTCCTTCCTTCCTTCCCGTCTTCCTTTCTATAATAATTTAATTTAAATGTTAATTGCATCTACAAATGCAGTTATCTTTTAACATTTAAATTATAACTTAAAGGCTAATTGCATCTACAAATGCCTTTACAGAAACATCAGTACTGTTGGTAGGCCAAATATCTGGGCACTATAGCCTCACTAGCTCCTCATGGAGGTAAAAGTAATGTTCAGGGGTTACTGCCTCTGGCCCAGTGATGGTGGTCCATTTGAGAAGGGCCCTGCAGTGCTCCACCAATGAGGCAGCCTTCCTGGCTGTGCACATACAGGCTTTTAAGTCACAGTTTTAATGGTGTGATCAGACCCACGGCAGGTCTAGCCCTGGAATAATAAAGAATGCTGAAGGATAGAGGGACATGAAAATGATAATGGAGGATTAGGGAACAATATTTCAACTAAATATAAACAAAATCGACTTCTTCCTTGCGCTTTTTTTCTTTTTAAAGACAAAACCTTGTTTTCAAATAGGGAGACTCAATTCTAGTAGACCATAGTGGCTGGCAACCTATTTTGAGAGAGATGGTTTGGAAGAAGAGCAGCTTCCTTAGGCCAGAAGGAGAACCTCGCTGAAGCTAACAGGAGAGGTCTGAGAACCACAGCGCGGGGCCCTGCGGGCTGGGCAGCGTGCTCCTCTCCAGCCTCAGGGGTGTGCCAGCTGGCTTGGCCATAACCGCCAGAGGAGGACCCGGTGGGACACTGGGTCAGCTCCTACCTTCCGGGTCTATAAGCAGAAAACGTGGCTCACAGAAAACCGAAGTGAAGCGGAATCCCTGCTTGGGAGCTTTCCTTGCCCAGTGGTTGAGCCCTGGGGACTGGGACAGGTGCTGTGGGTCCATGACTGAGACATGCGCAAGGTCCCTGGAGACGGGAGTGGTCCCTAGTGGTAGAAGTAGGAACTACACCCAGAATTCTACCCAGGTGAACCGGAAGAGAAGCCCCCAGGAAAGCAAATATGCCTTTTTTTTTTTTTTTTGGTGGCCTCACTAAGGGTTACTGGGTTTATTAGGATGAGGATACAATGAATTTTTAAATATCAGACCAAAATATTTTTATGATCGGTAATTCATACTCATTGTGGTTCCCATACCAAGAGCCAGGAACCACTTTCAGTGGTAGAGTGTGGGTTTAGGGAAGAGGGAAAGGAAAGCAACCCTCCTGAGGTTGGGCTGGTAAAAAATCAGCGAAAATTACTTTTCCTTCTTTTCCTGAATAGTCCACACTAGCATAAAAAAGGATATATTTATTTTTCAATAACTTAGTTTAATAAAGATAGAACTGGACTGAAGCAATATACTGGCATTTCTGCTATAATGTTATATATAAGATCATAAAAAACTTTACATATCTCAAAATCATGTGCTAAAATGTAACAAGCCTTATGGGAAAAAGAATGTTGCAAATTTTTAGCCGCAGTACTGACAAAAACATTAGCGATCTAGGAGGAAGAATCAGAGTTAAAATGACAGTTTCAATCCCTTAAAACCAAAACAAAATTGTAGATAGCTGTATTAGTCCGTTGTAATGCTGCTATGAAGAATCACCCGAGACTGGGTAATTTATAAAGAAAAGAGGTTTAACTGACTCACAGTTCCGCAGTGCTGGGGAGTCCTCAGGAAACGTACAGTCATGGCGGAAGGAAAAGCAAACACATCCTTCTTCGCATGGCAGCAGCAAGGAAAAGTGCAGAGTGAAGATGGGAAAAGCCCCTTATAAAACCGTCAGATCTCATGAGAACTCACTCACTATCACGAGAACAGCATGAGGGTAACCGCCCCCATGATTCAATTACCTCCCACCACACGTGGGGATTATGGGAACTACAATTCAAGATGAGATTTGGCTGGGGACACAGCCAAACCTTATCAGTAGCTTAACAGAAGTGGGAGAGCCACTTAATAAACAGATCCAAGAAAGAAAGGACATGAGTAAAACTGAGTTGAGTAGCAGGAGTAGTAGAAAGTGCCATGAATGAATGTTGAAGGTACCAAGGTTTTTCAATCTCTAATATGCATATGAATAACCTAGGGGTATTGTTCAAATGCAGATTTTGATTCAGTCAGCCTGGAGTAAGGCCTGGGATTCTGCATTTCCAGCTAGCTCGTCTGAGACGCTCTGACTGTGAGCTTTTGGAGCATACTTGAGTCACCTGAGTGTGCAGTGCTGTGCTGAATCCTTCATACCTGGCTGTGTTTAGCTGAGCTGGTGGACTTTGAGCTGGTGGACTTTGCATGAAGCTATTGTTACTTGGAGGCACAAAATCTAAACTGCTGGTAAAAACTGTGAATTAGCACGCCTTTTCTCCCATTCAGATATTCCCCAAATCGTCAGTCATGGATGAGTTAATTTAAATTGCAGAAACACGCATTGTAGCAAAACAGACTTTATTTGGGGCTAAGAACTTCTTAAATTTCCTTAGAGAGAGATCTCTACTCTGCTACTTCTTAGAATTAAGAAACATTAGGGCTGAAAAGAGACATGAAAAACAGCCTGTTGAACATTTTCATTTTACAGGTGATAAAAATGAAGGTCTTGGGTCACCCAGCTGGGTGAAGGCCCAGGTGGGACTGACCCACTTCCACAGCTGCCTTTCCACTCCCTCTGGTGAGCATGGCTACTTCTTAGGAAGGACATAGGTTTATTTTAGAGGTAATTTTTTATATATTCTCCAGTTTTATAATTATTCCCACTGATTCCATTTCTGTTTAGAAGAGGCAATGACACCGTGACCATTCGACTTCCTGCATCCTCAGATGAAGCTTCTGCCTCAGTCAGGGATGTGTGTCTCTTTAGAAAATTCCCCTGTCGTGGCCGGGCGCTGTGGCTCACGCCTGTGATCTCAGCACTTTGGGAGGCCGAGGCGGGTGGATCACGAGGTCAGGAGATCGAGACCATCCTGGCTAACACGGTGAAACCCCGTCTCTACTAAAAATGCAAAAAATTAGCCGGGCATGCTGGCGGCGCCTGTAGTCCCAGCTACTCGGGAGACTGAGGCAGGAGAATGGCGTGAACCCGGGAGGCGGAGCTTGCAGTGAGCCGAGATCGCGCCACTGCATTCCAGCCTGGACGACTGAGCGAGACTCCGCCTCAAAAAAAAAAAAAAAAAGAAAAAAAAAGAAAAAAAACAAAAAGAAAAAGAAAAAAGAAAGAAAGAGAATTCCCCTGTCGTATGTCGAAATGTGCCATGGTTCTCTTGACTGCTCAGGCGTGCAGGTGTAAAAGGATTCCCGTGGGAAGAATCACAGAGGAAGGACGGAAGCGACGGAACGGTGATTCGGAGAGGAGAAATCTCTTCCTGGTTCTCGGTTTATTGACCACGTCACTCCAAGGCATCTTGATAGCACAAAATCTCAGTGAATTTGGTTTAGAATGAACCTGGCGTCATGTGCCTACAGCATACAAGCAGAATGAGGGAAAGAGTCTGACATTCTCCATGGGCTGCTGGGAGAGAGGGTGCTGAGCTCTGGCGATGATTGACTTTGCTGGCAGACGGAATCAACTGCACCATTCTCATCATCCTTCTGAACCTTAGATCCTTTCCTTGCTTTCTTTCACCAGGCGGATGATCACGCTGTTCCCTCATAGGATATGACTTTGATTCTTTCATTCTGCCTTTCGTTATTGATCGTTTTTCACAGATTTTTCCTTCACACTAGATTATGAACAGTTTTGTGTTAGTAAATGTGTAACGACCAACTGTAAAAGAAACTATATGTGAGCATGTGCACACGCACTCATACGTTTATTACAACTTTCACCAATATAAAGAGGATACAGCATGCCATTTAAATATAATAATACAATATTATATCATATGATACCTTTTATAGTCAATTCCAATTAGTCAATTGATTCTCACAAGATGTTTTCATTGGTATTAACTGTACTCCAGTAACTGCCGCCAACGTACGGTTGCAATTGAGGAACGAATGTAGTTCTGCCATGACAGTTGGTTGGTATTTCCATTTGCATTAGCAAGACAAAACTGAAACAATGAAGACATAGTTGTAACTTCATTCATTTGTCAGTAACATGAGTGATTACTGAACTGAGTGACAGTTTCCAAATACTGGAAGAATATTTCTTTCCTTAAATTTGTGATACTCACGTCATAGCTACAAGCTTGGCATACATTGAAGTACAATCTACATCATTCCCATTTTTTCTCATGGCTTCTTTAAAATGGTGAAGCTCAAACGTGTAGCAGTTAATGCTTTCCATGGTGAAAATCCTCCCGCAAAAGCCAAATTTAGCCTCTCAATGCGATGTCCTTGAAGGAGAGTTGAGAAGAGGTGCGCAGTAGCCCCCACGGCACCCCATGGCACAGGTTTCCACCAGACAGAGGCAACATGCCAAACGGCTCCCAAGAGCTCAGGTAACAGCGCGTGGAATAAAATCACTTGGAACTGTCTGGGTACTTATTATTTTTAATGACAAAAATACTTTTAACTGCTTTTAAAAATTACCAATACTTTCAATGGCAAAAACCACAATTACATTTGCATCATACTTTTCTTTTTAATATAATTTATTTAATTATAAGTTTGTGTAATTTTTGAGACACAATTTAAGAATTTTAATATAATTTATTTAATTATAAGTTTGTATCATTTATTTTTTTGAGACAAAATTTAGTAATTTTTTCTTGTTTTCTCACGTGAGCTGGAATGCAGGTGATGCCATCATGGCTCACACCAGCCTCAGCCTCCGAGGCTCAAGTGATCTTCCTGCCTTAGCCTCTCAAGTAGCTGGAACTACAGGTATGAGCCACTACATCTGGGTATAATTTTTTAAGAAAGGCACTGTCGGTAGCCCATTTTTATTTATAATGTGGCATATCAAAATAAGATTAAAGATATTTACCAGCATGAAAAATACTACAGTGAAGTATATAATGTAATTTTAAATAATAGCTGTATGTAACAACTAGCACCCTAAATTCCTGAAAACTTAAAAATAAACCCTCATGAGCTATCACAAGCCAACTCCAGCACAGCACTGGTTTCAGGGCAAAGCCTATATCCTATTCATCTTTGAATTGATCTGCACACAGTAGACACTTAATAAATGTGTGTTGCATTTATTTAAATTTATTAAACAAAAGGTCTGGACTAGATGGTTTTAAAATCTCTCCCAATTTTAATGATTTTCCTTTTGTTTAAAAATTTCCACTTCAAAATAATTGAGAAAACATCAAAATATAAGGAAGAAAATAATTGCTTCTTGTCCTACAACTGAGTTTTAACCATGGATAACATCTTGACATATTTGTCTCCACTTTTTTCCAATGAATGATGCTTATAAATTATAAAGAAATCAATGAATGTAAAAGCATAAAGATAAAAATAAAAATAAGCATCCAAGCCAGTTACCCAGAAATTACTATCACAATTGTTAGGCTGTTATTTCAGCACTTTTTCTATATATTTATTCAGAAAAAAGGGGAAGAATAAATAGATAATTGTGCCTTTAATACATTTATAAAAATGGAATGATATGCTAGATGTTATTTTTAAATTCAACTTTTTAGATTTAACTAAATAGAAGAAAAATACTGAATGAATTCTTAATTTTTAAATAAATACCATGCCAAGAATAGCTGTGACTGTTATCTCAAGATGATTTTAAAGTTAAGAAAGAGAGAGAAATTTTGAGAAATATTTCAAGATTTCACTCCTTATGACATGAGGAGGTTTTTGTTTGTTTGTTTGTTTTGTTTTTGGTAAACTCATATTGAGCTTTTAGGAAAGTATCTGTTGAGACTGCTTTGAAAAACGGAGGAATGAGTCCTTTCACCATCATTGAGTGTTTCGTAGCTCCCCTCCCTCAGTGTCAGTTTTTGTTGCTTATAGTGTTATTATAATTTTTTATCGTCTAGGTTTATAACATGCATATTCTGTTCTACGACCATCACTTGCATAGTTATTAAGTGTTAGCTTTATATTTAAATGGATTAGGTGCTGATTACCTACCGTTTCATCATAGCTTCTACCTTCATGAGTTCTACACTTAAAATTCATTCTGTAATTGATATATTTTTTTTTTTTGAGATAGAGTCTCACTCTGTCGCCAGGCTGGAGTGCAGTGGTGCCATCTTGGCTCACTGCAACCTCTGCCTCCCAGATTCAAGCAATTCTCCTGCCTCACCCTCCCGAGTAACTGGGATTACAGGCATGCGCCACCATGCCCGACTAATTTTTGTATTTTTAGTAGCGATGGGGTTTCACCATGTTGGTGAGGATGGTTTTGATCTTCTGACCTTGTGATCTGTCTACCTTGGCCTCCCAAAGTGCTGGGATTGCAGATGTGAGCCACCATCTCTGGCCGATGAATTTTAATGCCAAGCAATTTTTTAATTTTAAACGAAAGAAAGGCTCCTAGGCATTATGTATCTTTAGTTCTTCCCTGTTTGAGAATATATATGAGTCGCTTTTATGTCTTCATGACATCTTAACGAGGTATGATATTCTTGGACCGTGACTTCTCTTCTCAGAACTTTGTAGGTATTTTTTGATATCTTCTCTTATTGAACGGTATTTGTAGAAAACTGTAAAACCAGCCATGGTCATATCTTTCTTTAGAGCGACTTGCTCTCTCTGCTTGGTGCCTGAAGAACTATTTTCTTTATCATTGATTTTCAAAATCTTTACTAGGACAAATCTTGGTGGTAAGCTTTCTATACCAAATTTCCCCGGGCACATTGTGCTTTTGGGATTTGCAACTTCAATACTTTCTCTATTTCAGAGACATTTACTTTTACCTTTTAATACATCTTTTTGTCAATCTGTTGGATTTTCTGCTGTAGGTACAATAATATTCTCATGTGTTTTCTATTTATTAGTTTCTTTCTTATTTTTTTTTCTATTTAATCTATATTGGAGTATTTCTTTTATGTCATTAATTTGATTTTCAGAGATGACTATTCTGTTCTCTGCTTTTTCTAATTAATGACTTCCAAAGGGATGTGGTAGTGATTGGCAATTTAATTTCTTTCATTTCCAATCTTCTTCTTGTTTCATCATCTTATCTTTAGGATGCTGTTTTATTGAATCAATACTGGTTTAAGGTTATTTTGTAGCAGAAACCAACTATGAAGAGTCAATTTATACCTTCTCTTAGGTTAGGACCCGAATTTTCCCTTGCTGTTGGTTGTATGTGTGTTTTCTAACTGTGTGATGCCAACATTATATAACATGCCTTTCTTTCTGTCTTACTTATGATTAGATGGGTCTTTCCACACATGCTATTTGCTCACAAATATAATGGGTAAATAACTATTTGACTCTCTTCCCACTTTACTACTTTACCTGACACCAGCTTTCTTCTTCTTCTTTTTTTTCCCCACGAGTACATGTAATGGAAATGTTGGGTTCTATTGATCTGTATTTACTCAGGGGGGATGGGTTTGGGAGAAGGAATGGATTCAGGTGAGTAAGCACAGAGAATTAGTAAATTCTACACTCTCTTCTGAGACTTTTTCAATGGTAGCCAGCCTCCAAGGTGGTTGCAAATAACTGGTCCTCAACTCCCAGTATTCACACCCTTGTGTTAGTCCACTCCTACATTGTGTGGGGGTTCTGTGTGACCAATAGCACATGGAAGACCCAATGATATGTCCCTCCTGCAGGTGGGTTATACAAGAAACTGCAGGTGGGTTATACAAGAAACTGCAGGTGGGTTATACAAGAAACTGCAGGTGGGTTATACAAGAAACTGCAGGTGGGTTATACAAGAAACTGCAGGTGAGTTATACAAGATACTGTGGCTGCCATCTTGGTTGTTCTTCCTCTCAGTCTCAGATTGCTTGCTCTGGAGGAAGTCAGCTGCCACATTGTGATCAGCCCTAGAGAGAGGTTTGTGAGGTGAGGAAATAAGCCATGTGAGTGAGCTGAGAACTGGCGCCTACAGCTTCAGGAACTTCATGACTCTGCATCTCCAGCTAACATGTTGCTTGAAGCTTCGTGAGTGACCCTGCACCAGTACCACCGAGATTAGCCAGTCCTGTGTTCTTGACCCACTGAAACTGCGAGACAACACTTGTTGCTTTAGTTGCTCAGTGTGTGGCACTGTGTGAAGCAGTAACAGATAACTGATACAATGGCCTATTGTAACCATTCCTGTGCAGAAAGGCTCTCCTGAGCTTTGAATAATTTCTTCAGATCAGTGTGTTTCTCTGAGCCTTAACTCCCATCAGGAAGAGTCAGCCTCCATTATTTACTCTAAGGAATAGGGAAGGAGAAGGTGCATAAGGCTCGGCAATGTGGGTTTCTTTCTCCGTTTTGTCCATTTCCCTCAATAGAGGTTGCCATTAGCATTTGGTTAATATATTAGTCCACCAGGGCTGTGCTATGGTTTGAATGTTTGTCCCCTGCAAATCTCATGTTGAAATGGAATCTCCAATGTTGGAGGTGGGGCCTGGTGAGAGGTGTTTCGGTCATGGAGGTGGACTTCTCATGAATGGCTTGGGCCATCCGCATTGCAGTGAGTTCTTGCTCTGTTAGTTCGTGTGCAATCTGGTTGTTGAGAAGAGCCTGGCATCTCCCACTACCCCTTGCTCCTGCTGTTGCCATGTGATACACCAGCTCTCCCTTTGCCTTCTGTCATGACTGGAAACTTTCGGAGCTTCAGCAGGAAGAGATGCTAGTGCCATGGTTCCTGGACAGCCTGCAGAACTGTGAGCCAACAAAACCTTTTTTCTTTACAAATTACCCAGTCTCAGGTATTTCTTGATAGCTATGCAAACATGGACAAATGCAGGCCTGCCATAACAAAATACCACAGACCGGATGGCTTACATAAAAGAAATTTATTTTCTCACTGTTCCAGAGTCTGGAAGTTCAAGATCAAGGTGCTGGCAGGGTTGGTTTCTCCTGAAGCCTCCCTTCTTGACTTGCAGATGGCCACCTTCTCCAAGGGCCTTCGTATGGTCTTTTCTCTCTATGCATTTCTGGCATTCCTCTGTGTGTCCTGTTCTCCTTTCCTTATAAAGACACAAGTCATGTTGGATCAGGACACATCCTAACTGGCCTCATTTGGACTTAATGACCTCTATAAAGGTGCTGTCTCCAAATACTGAGGTACTGGGGGTTAGGACTTCAACATATGAATTTTGCAGAGACACAAGTCAGCCCTTATCAGTTAAAATAGTAGATAACACAAACACTCATTGATATGATGCTTTTCAGATGTGAGAGTTACAGTAAAATACCCCAATAATACAATAAAATTCATGATTGGATCTGTTCTTTGCCAAGCCCCCATTCTTAAATGGGGAGAATGATTCCTAAAGTTCTTATCTTCTGGCCTAGGAGGGGAATGTGGAAGGAAGGATGAAACAGACAAGCCCATCTTGAAAAGAGGGCAGGAGGATGATG